TGAGGATAAGCATTCCCCACAGATCCCCCCAGGGGCTGCCACCCCTGCAAGGCTCCCCTTAAATCCAGCTCTCCTTAAAGGAGAAGAAACTTCAAAATAATTTCACCCTGTGAACAGCATACCCATCATGGGCTGCTGTACCAATCTGCAACTTAAAGTATTTCAGTGGTTGGTCATCTTCCTGTAGCAAACCCCGTCTAAACTCCAGGTGTCACGCTCCATCTGATGTTCTCAGCTTCCACTACTGGATGAGTGCAATACAGATGGAGGGGTGTTAGGAGGGAGTAGGGATCAGGAGTCAGTGTACATGGCAACTAAGCCTTCAGGCCTCTTTAACCCAGAGGATGGCCCAAAAAGTTGCCAAAACCACCTTAAATGCCCTTCCTGATGGTTCTACTGAGTAGATCAAAACCATGGGACAAAAAGAGGCTTGAAGTTGTGCTCCAGGTCATGGGCTGTGACTTCCAACTTGGCACTGTGGCCTTGTCTGTCCCCCACCCCTACAGACATCTTTGTTTCTCCCTGTTCTTGGTTCCTACAGCACTAGCTTTGCTTGTCTTTGGTCCTTAGCCACCTGCCCAAAATATTCCTACTTTTTAAAAGTCAGGTGGGGACAAGAGCTATCCTGGGTGCCTAGCCCCGACCTCTTGCTGATCACAGCATCTACAACCCTAGGCCCTCATGGCCTGGCCTGTCTCTGCCCTTTCCTGTTATGATTTCTTTACTGACAGAAGCCTTTAGGACCTCACTCTGACTCCCAGTACCCATACCTAGAAATGGCTGGACTGAACTGAAGGGGACCCTTCCCAGGGGCTGCTCAGAGTTGTAGTCGGATGCGTATATTATTCCTACAGCCCCCAAAACTTTTATTTTTTCTAAGGTTTTTATTTGTTCTAAACATGATGTGGTGTGTGCCTTTAATCCCACACTTGGGAGGCAGAGGGTAGCAGATCTCTGTGAGTTTCAGGCCAGCCAGGGCTACATAGTGAGATCCTGTCTCAAACATATATAGTTCTGGCTGGCTTAGAACTTGCCCCAGTCCTTTTCCCTCAACCTCCCAAGTATTGGGATCACAGGTGTGAGACACCACACCCAACTTCCCCAAAGACTGTATCAGATATCTGCCAGGTGCCTTGCCATGGAAAACACGAGGGCCTAGGCCACACAAGGCCCATATTCCAGGCTGGGTGACTCTGATAAAGTCATATAACCTCTCTGAACTCAATTGTCCCTCTATATCTACTATAGATGAAAGTAATCTCTGCTCTGTCAGTTACCCAAGATGAGAGGAGAAGACAGGATATCAATGACAGACCTCTTCCCCTTAAGAGGGCCAATGTGTAGGACTCTTAGGAAGACTTAGATACACCCAGGTATCTGAGTGCTAGAAGGACCATCGATAGATCACTGTGCCTGGTATTCTGCCACCAGATAGCCATTGAGCTAAGGTGTTACTATTGTTTATATCCAGACATGCCACTCAATCTGGCAAGGATGACACAGCCACCCAGAGGCAGAAGTCTGACTTATCTTAATGAACATCTCAGTCACAGTCACTCTGACATTGGTATTGGAGGGTAAACAGGTATAAGTCTGCGGAGATCAAGTTGGCATGCTCATTAAAAGCTTTACAAATCTGCACATGATGTGATGTGACAGTTCTGCCTCTGGACATATGTCATAGGAAAATAATGTGTTCAAAACTATGTGTTCAAGAAAGTCTTATTTATACTAGCACAGAGTTATAAAGTACTTAAATGTCCAAGAATAGGTAATCGGCTGCATAATGGTGTGTATGCTCAATAAGATACCAAGCACCACAGGGGCCAGCCTCACCCCCCCCCACAGGCCCCCAGGGGCTCCTCACTTGGCTGGAGTTCCTGCTTTTCCTGTCTTAAAATCTTAATCATTTTTGAATAAGAGTTCCTCATTTTCATTTTATGCTTGCAAATTATGTGGCCATTTTCTGACTGTTACATAACAATTAAAATAGCGCTTATGGAGAATATTTGTTGAAGTGGAAATTGCCTCTAATAAATAAAGAAATGAGGACATAAAAGCATCAATGATGCAGTGTTAATTTTCTGAAAACAGTAATATATGGGTGCATTGATAGAAGACGGGACAGAAATAAACCAGAACGTTAGGTGATTATCAGTGAAGAGCAAGATTGCATATACTGGTTTTGTTACTCTTTTCTTCTTTCCCAATACAGAGGATCTGACTGTGCTCACTGATTAACTTTTCTGGAAGAGGCAAAGCTGCACCTGAGAACAAGTCTGATTGTGCCTCTGATGGAGTCAGTCCTTCCACTGCAGAGTATATTTCTGTACAACGCAGGAAGATCAGTTGCTGAGGATGGATTTCTCGATCTCTCTCCCCATCACAGGCTTAGATGACATAGCCAGGGCCTGGCTTCTTGCCACATTTGGGGTTTAAGATCAATACCCATGGCAGTCTCATTGGACAAAGACCACACTGTATTCTAACTGGGTGATGGGGCCTTCTCAAGACATGTACCCCCAAGTGAGTCTCTGAATCAGGGAGAGGAGTCAACCCCAAGTCCTCTTGTGCCCCTCACCCCCTGTAAACCACCTCCAGGAGGTGAGGTCAAATTTAGTATTATGCAAGGTAAGGCACACTTGGCTCCATCACCTTCTTCCTGCATGTCTCTCCAAGGGTTGTAATATGTTCATATGTTCATGTGCATGAGTGTAGGTTTATACGTGCCATGATGTTCATGTGGAGGCCAGAGTCCTCTCCTCCCACTTTATTTGAGACACGATCTCTCTCATTCACTGCTACTTACACCAGGCTACCTAGCGCACAACTGCTGGCCATCCTGTGTCCACCTTCCATCTCCCAGGAGGAGCACACTGGGATTACAGACATGTGCTCTACTGTGTGCAGCTGTTGATGCATGGGTTCTGGGACTCCAAACTCAGGTTGATCAGTCTTCTGCAGCAAGCACTTTACCCACCAAGCTGTCTCCCTAGCCCTCTTTTTTATAATATGTGTAGGTTGTGTACATGTGTGTGGGTGCATATGCGTGTGTATACATACATGCGGCCAGAAGTCTAACTTGGGAGTTCATCCTCAGGAGTGCCATCCACCGTTTTTTTCTGTTTCCTATTTCAGTTCCTCCCCTCCCTGCCCCTCCCCTCCCCTCCCTTTCCCTTCCTTCCTTTCAAAAGAGTCTTAGGCTAGACTCCTAAAGATCTTCCTATCTCTGCTTTCCCAGCACTGGGATTACAAGCACATACCATCACTGGCCTTTTTACATGGGTGCCAAGGATCTCACTCAGGTTCTCCTGCATACAAAGCAAGTTCTTTACCTACTCGACCTTCTTTCAGATCCCCTCCTGCAGGGCCCATGCTCATTGCTTCCTCTCAACAGCAGAGAGCTGGGAAGAGAGGATGGTACAGCTTGGGTGGGCAGGGAGGAGAAAGGGGAGGTAGTCCTCCAGTGAGACATCCCCACTCCACACCCATTTACCCATTTACAGATTTCTCACCTCCCTCGGGCTGTTTCTGACTATCTGATGCTAAGCTTAGCAGGCAGAGAACAAAGAATCTCAGATCCTGAGCTAGCTAAAGTCAGTCAGTGACCTAATGACAGATGGGAATGTGGGGGCACATAAGAAGTGATAAACTGGGTCAGAACCACACAGCCAGCAAGAGTAAACAGAGTTCTTCCCCTGCGGGGGTGGGGGTGGGGGGTGGGCAGGGACTTAGCCTTCATAGAAAGGCTGTTTATCCAAATAGCTATGTGGGAGAGCTGTGCTGGGCACTTCTGTGCACCCAGCTGTGAGACACAGGTCCTGTTAACACCAAGTAATCACTTATGGCCGTGCTGGGGAGACAGGACTGCACTCCCACAGTTTTTTGAGGCTCCTGTTTCTGGGTGGGTCCCTGCTACTACAATGAGGCTGAACTCTCCCAAGGACTCCTGTCTTCCCCTCCCCATCCTGGCACCTGACAAGGCACACAGAACTCAGGGAAGATGGGGGTTGAGGTCAGGTGTCTTATGTGCTCCTCGGACAGGAGGACCCTACACATAGTTCTTGTCTTGAGTACATGAACCTTATGCTGTCCTGTCTCTGCCTTCATCTCATGACAGTCACCAAGAACCTTTCTCTTTCGGAGCCACCCTTCTTTTGGTGCCTTGCCCAGTGTCTCTTCCCTCCCGGTCCTCCCCTTCCCTGACTCTCCACAGGCCTCCCACAGCAGGGTTCAGTTCCCAGTACCAACCTGATGGTTAACAAATGTCCTTAACTCTAGTTCCAAGGGAACTGACACCCTCTCCTGGCCTCCGTCGGCACTGCGCACATGTGGTACACTTACATACATGCAAGCAGAACACTCATACACATAAATTGTAATTTTAAAAAAGCAGCGTAGTAGTGTGCCAGCTGAGCATGGCACATCCCTTAATCTGGGCTGTAAATAGGAGATTTCAGTCCATGCTACACACAACAGCCATGGAGATTGAGACACGGCTTATAGAGGCAGGCGGCTATTGACTGACAACTGTAGCTGGTTGTTGATACCTGAGGTCATTCTCCCTGAGAGATGAAGCCTCTTTGAGAGCCTTGTGGATGTCCCAAGACCTAGCAAAAGTGGAAGTAACGAATGAATGGATGAATGGTTGCAACATCTGGGGATGCACAGTGTTCTCACAGGAGAGGTTCAGGGAAAGGCTGTGACTGGTGCACACCTACACTGGGCCTGTGTTCAACCCTGTTCTCAACCCTACCTTTATGACATTTCCTCCTCCTAACTACCCTTTTAAATGAAGTGTATGAAGGTTTTCATAAATTTTAAAACCTGATCTGCACACTTTACTAAAAGCATGTGGTGGGTAGGCAGTATTAGGCCGCAAATTTCCTAAACTAAAATTGCCTTGAGCACATCGTGGATTACCAATGGGGGGCCTCTCTCTCTTCCAGCCCCCAAGGGCTACTTTCTCAGGACTGACTACTGTGTTTCTTGCTTTGCAGACCACGGTGAGTTGGGATGGGGACAAACTCCAGTGTGTGCAGAAGGGTGAAAAGGAGGGGCGTGGCTGGACCCAGTGGATAGAGGGTGATGAACTGCACCTGGTAAGTTACCTAGCAAGGGTCAAGCTATGTCTCCAGAGGCCTCATCACCTAAAGGGGTTAATAGACCCTTGAATAAAGCACTACGGTTGGCCATTGCTTCTGCCCTGAAGCTCCTGTTCCAAGGGCCTGAGAGAAATTTGAGAGTGACTTGAAAAACCATATAAATGTGATTTCAAGGTCTAGGCTGACCCAGGGTCCAGTCAGAAGGAGTAGGTGAGGAGGGGCATTTGGTAATCACTAGCAGCAAGCCAAGACCTTCTGCAAGCTCTCTTGAAATAAGAATCAGGTTCCTGAGGCTGGAGAGAAGGTTCAGTGGTTAAGGGCACTGGCTGCTCTTGCAGAGGACCTGGGTTCAGTTCCCAGCACCCACATGGCAGCTAACAACCATCCATAACTCCAGTTCCAGGGCATCTGATTCCCTCTTCTGGCCTCTGTAGACATTCCATGCACATGGTGCATTTACATACATGCAGGCAAAACACTCATACACATAAAATATAAATTAAATTATTTAAAGATTCAGGCTCCTGTTTTCATGATGAATACATGGAACCCTGAAAGACTTGGTTGTAAGCCGAATGATGTGTATGTGTGTCCTGTGCAATTCTGGCGGGCCAGAGTCAAGCCAAGTCTCCAGGATTCCACAGGTCAAAACCACTTCCACTGTCTCCTGTTTGAGAAAAGCAGGTACGGAGGCCTGAGATCCCTAAGAGCTAAACACAAGTACTCCAATGGGAGGCCTCCCCTCACTCCTCCACCCTGGAACTCCCCAACTACCCCGCTTTAGGAGTCTGGTCCAGAGCTAATCCCAGGCACTCATCCCAGGCACTCGCTGGGTGCCTTAGGTAGGCCCCTAGCTGTCCTCTTCCTCCTCTGATAACACTATCCTGTTGCATGTAATCTCTGCAAAGATCTCTGTTCTACAAGGGCTGTGAGGATGTGAGCCTCATTGAGAGTAAACACAGGACCCCTGGGCTTTGGGGTCCAGTCGTGACCCAGCCTCCTCCCTAGGCCTCTGTTTGCTCAGCTGAAAAGAGTAAACTTGATCTTAGTGTCCCCTTGCTTCCTTTAGCTCAGCGGCTCTAAGCCAGAGACTGCACACTGGGGTGAGGAGAGCGCTCAGGCCTGTTTTACTTAGCCCTCAAAGGGCTTTAAGTTTCTTCAGACAACACTTTAGTGTCATGGATTTCCAGCCTCCTTCAAAACAACTTGGAAGACATATGGCTGTCTCTTCACCTGCTGGCTTCAGTCTACAGTCACCAAGGGCTGGCCCTGGAGGTGGAGCATGGGCTATTGTGGCTGCCTTTTAGAACTGCCTGGAGGCTGGGCTCTACACACTGAGATGCTACAGCCCCTCTCCCAACCAGGATGGCCGCAGAGGCTTAGAATCCTTGTGTTACTTTGTAAACCATGACTGTAGCAATCTAGTGAGCCATGTCTCTTGGCCAGTTCCT